CATTGTGTGGCTGTCTTGCATGACTCCATTTACGTCCTGAACAAATCTATATTCATCAGAGTGAGGGTTTTTAACTATGAGGATTCCAGTGTTACAGGGGGACTGGCAGGGTCTGATTAGATTTGTGTTTCTGATTTTTTTTTCAGTCTTACTGTGTTGCCCAGGCTGACCTTAAACTTGTAATCCTCCTATCTGAGCCTCCTGAGTAGTGGGGATTGCATGAATGTGCCATCATGCCCAAATTTACACCTGATTTTTATGGGCTGAATGTTTCTTGTTATGCCCAACATTTCTGTGACCCAGACTTCAGGTTTTATAGTATCATAGATCTCTGGGAAAAGCAGTTCTTTATCCTTCTGTTCTGATCACAGGAAGGCCTTCTGTAACTAACAATGAATGTTCTGGCAGAATTTGTTTTTCCAATTGATCTAGAGAAACGATCACTTGAGTATTTAACTTGCATAGGGCATTGTGTCCAAAGAGGGGAAATGGACATTCCAGAATATATAGAAAGCTATGTTTTAAAGTCTTATCTTCTACTTTTCATTCCAGTAGCTGGAGGAAGGACTTGTCTTGAATTTCTCTCAATATTCCTGTTACTTTGGTAAAAGTTTTAGCTTTCTTTCCTGGTTTGGTCTTTAACACAAATTAGGAAGAACCTGTATCTACAAGGAAGTCAATTGGTTGATTCCTCTACTGTCACTTGTACTCAGGGCTATGTAGGAAAACATGGATAGGATGTCTTGGATCTGTGAGAACTCCTGTGCCCATCAATCTTCATGGATGAAAAGAGCTGTTATTTGTAAAGGATCCTTTCAGTATAGAAAATTATTACTTTTTCAGTTTAACATGTCAGAAGTAGAAAATGGGTTATGCATCTAGACATTCATCCCTCCCCACCATCTGGGGACCCTGTTTATTCATATCCTTGTCTTATTTTTCTGGACATTCATTTTTTCAGTGACCTTCTTCCTTACAGTAGGCACAGTTTTTCTCCAAGGTGTACTTGCCTCTTTTAGGCGGTGCCTTCTTCCCAGTGGGGCAAAGCTTTACCTACCAAGGATGAGCCAGAAAAGTGGCATTTTGTTTGGCATCTCCTTGTTTCACACATTGTTCGCTGTCATTGTTATCCTTAAAAGCAATGTCTACAAACTGAAGTTTTGTTCCTAGAGCCCCTTCCAGGCTGTGTAATTTTTTACTAGATGTCCATAGCACTTTATCCTATCAGTATTAAATTGACCATTCCTATATTGTCAGGGTCTGTATCTGTGTAACACCTGTAGTCCTGGTATATGTTCTCTTGAAATTCTAATAGGGCTTCATCAGGTTTTTGTTGAACTTCCTTTCCCTTGTTCAGGCTCTTGGGACCCTCACTCTTAGTCCTGCTAAAATGTACCAGCAGGGATGCTCTAATCAGGCTTTGCCTCTAGCATCCTTAGGGTGGTTACAGTGGTAGAGACGGTCTTATTTGCTGCTAAATTATTAATGGGGTCATCCAGGTGAAGTTTATGAGCTCCTTTCTAGCTTTATCTGTTCTTATCCTCTTTTCATCCTATTTAAGCATAATATTCATTAAGATATGGACTGGACAGCTACCCATGATGTGTGTTATGTAGCAAAAATGGATGAAAAGAGCTCAGTTATTTGTAAAGGATCCTTTCAGTATGGAAGATTATTACAGTTAAACATGTCAGAAGTGGAAAATGGGTTATGCATCTAGACACACTCAGCAAGTTGCCCCTGAGCATTTGCTCCTATGGGATACTAGCATAATTGAAAGTGCCCTGCTCTTCATGGTGCTCCCTGTCTGAATTACTTTCCTTGTTGGATTGAGAAAATCCATCTGTTGCCCTGACAACCTCAGAGTGCATTTCAGACTATTCCACATGGGGGTGGTATGTTTTATTCTATAGGAAACCAGGATGATGTCCCTGTATCCTGTGAAAGTACTACAGGGATGTTAGGATAAAAGACTCCAGGAGGGCAAGTGTTTAAAGACTGAAATAGTATTGTATCCTTTTCCTCATTCTTTGTTTTACTATTACATATAATCATTATTCCTTAATAATGACAAAATCCTGCTTATCCCTTCTGTTATCCTGATATAATAACATGTAATCCTACACATAAGTGACCTTGTTATTTTTTTTTCCTTTCTGTAGTATAAGTCCAACGGCAAAATGGTATAGTAATTAAGGGAGCATTTACTCCCTTCCCTTGACCCCAAGACATATTGAGACCAGACTGAAAAAAAAAATCATCTTTTTTAAAATCATGGAACTGTAGATATCTTCAGCCCACTTACTCAGAATTAATGCCAAAGGGTTCTTTGGGAGAACTATCACACATTTGCCATAGTGCAGCACAGAAGCAATGACAGAACAGATATGGATACAGAAAAGCAAGTAACAGAAACTAAAACCAGAGATCCAGATTACAAACAGATTTAGGGTTAAAGGTCTGTAACTATTCTCACTCCTGAGGGGCACTCAACTGATTGTCCCACCAGGGAGAGAAGAAAGAGAGCCCATATGGAGGGGAAAGGGAGTTCTTGGGCATGCATTTCAAGGTGACTAACCCTACTCCACAGGCAATTCATTGACTTACCCAGGAACTGTTATGCCACTCTCACAAATGGCATGAGAGGTGACTGGCATTGGAATTGGAAAAATGAGAGAGTGTCCTCAGCACAAATGCTGCTGCAGCCACAGAGCCTTAGCCAAATATTCCCCAATCTGAGATGGTCACTGCCACAGACCCTGCTATTCCTGATTGGCTCACCAAATTTATGTTAGTGAAAAGTCTGGTCCCCCTGCTTCCCAGTGAAGCCCATGATTCAAGGGGTGAGGGGAGAAAGAGCTTTATCAGCAACAAGGTGGCAGGTAGAAGATGAATGACTGTCACTCAGATTCCATCTTGCCACGGGTCATAGGTGAAAAGCTTATATGCAGTTTCTGGGGAGTCTAATTTTAACCATAGCCAGGTGGTCACTGGAATGGTCATTTATTCTTGTAGTAATCAGTTTTCTTGACATGATTTCAAGATTCTCTCCAGGTCATGGGGCATTCCTGAATGCCTAAAGAAAGATTACCAATTAGGAGGTCATATAACTGGTAGTATTCTTTAAGGTTTTCCCTTATTCTTCTTTTCAAGCAAGGCTGACTTCATCAGTTAATTTGGGATGGGGGAAGTGAGGAATAGGGAAGTGAGTCAAAACAGAAGAATGAAAAACAGACTTGCTAGTGCTAGGATCACTTTAATCCATTCATTTGCTTCAATATTTGAACAAACTTATCAGACAAAAAAGCTGAGCTTTGCTACTCATACCATTTATAAAAAATACTATTTGAATATATGGTTATATCACAAGAATGGGATCCTAATTAAAATAAGTTTGCTCCATGTATGTATAATATGTCAAAATACACTCTACTCTCATGTGTCTCAAAACAACAAAAAAGAATATATGGTTATAATTCTGTATTTGTTATTAATGTTAGAAGAAACATGTCAGTGTTTTAAATTGAAATAGGAGGTACACATATTAAAATCATTGAAGTTTGAAAGGGATTTAGAGAATTTCTAGCCAACCTCTTATCTTCCTACAATTTTTTAAGCCATTGTTGTAATTTGTTATGTGATTATTAGATGGACTGTAGTAGCTGTTCAAGTGCTATGTAATGTAAAATCATCATGCCACTTCTAACTGTATTTATGTATGATTGAAAGGCAGTCAAAATTTTAATATAAAAATCTAACAAGTTTAATCTAGAATTTTTTTGGTTATTAGAAATATCCATCTTATAATACTTAAAATTTAATTTTTTAAAAAGCACTAAACTGTCATTTTTATTATATTAAATGGAATCAATAGTTCATTTTACCTCTTGGTTGCCATTTTACCTTATTTCCTCTCAATTGATTAAAATGATACATTGCTTTAGCAAGTATTGTTTTGAAGTCTCAGTTTTCTAAAGGAGCTTCTGTTTGTTTCTTTCTACTTCTAGTTTTTCTTCTATAATTACCTCAAGTGTTACTTTTAGTAATACAGATTGGTTGTTTACCCCTACTTATGAAAATCTTGAAAATCTTTTGCATTTTAAGAATGCAAAATAAAAAGCAATTACTAGAATATATATGTATATCCAATTACAGCAATAATTAGACACTTTAACCTTCTATGGAAAAGAAGCTTTAAAATCCTTTAAAATGTACATTGTACTTTTTGTAAGTTGTTAGACCATAGCATGTCCATAATTATAAACACAAAGCTTTATTTTCTTGATAAACATTCTGACTTATACTATTATAATTAAACATGATGAAAATTAATGTAGTTTGGATAGATGGTTATGGATAGTTATAAAATTTATAGAAGTTGAGGGATTGATGAAGTTTATGTAACTCATGAATTTTTGTATTATGTATTTTATTAAATTATGAATCAGACATGAATCAGCCACATAATTAATTTTCCCACATTTTAGGCATTTAAGTTTTATTAGATTTCACAATAAAATTAGTGTTTTCCTTAATTTTTCTATATAAAAAATGTTTCTTATGTTTCTTTTCAAGATGTAAGTAGCAAGTACTGGGAGTATATCTCAGTTGTAAAGTTTTGGGTTTAGTCCCCAGCAGCAAAAAACAAAAACAAAACAAAAAAACTTAAGCAGCAAACTAACAGAATTTTCATTGATAGTAATGGGTTTCCAGATAATCCAGAAAAACAGTTTCAGCATAATGATGTACATGAGTACATAGTGCTGTGAAACTGCATTTTATTTGAATTTAAAATCAACTATACCTAAACTAAAGAGGAAAAGGTACTTTGGGAAGATCTGAATGCATTGTGTAATCTTGAATAAGCAAAATGGTTAGAGATTACATTTTTTCCTCAAGTATGTAGCCAAAATATAGACATAGTCTCCAGGACTCTTTATATGTACATGTTAAAGAACCTTTTTTTTCTAAAGCTAATTTGAATAATCTCTTTATTTTAGGAAAAGAAAAGAAAGCGACTGGAACGCTTTGGACTCCTTTGATAATCTCTCTAAACTTTTCCTCTCTAAATTTTATATATTAAAAGTAAATATAATGACCAAGTTAAAATATTTCAGTGTTCTGTCTAATCAGTTCCTTAATATTTTCACAGACATTGATTTTGTGATTATCTACTATAATTTATAAATCAAAAAATTAGTTAACTAGATTTGCTAAATTATTAGAATGGAGTCAGTTCTTTTGCCCAGGACATTGAAAGATTATAATATATTATGTGTAAAAAATAAAAGTTAAAAAAAATACCCAAAATTATATAAGTTACATTTATGGCATTCACAAATTTTTAGTTACTTTGTCATGCCTTAAGTGAGTGATTATTGATAATTTATTACAAATATATGGAATTTCCTCATGGTATTTTTAATTTAAATACATATGACCACCTATTAGCTCAAAGTACTTGTCAAAATAAATTGTAAGCTCAAGCCTCATTATCAGTTATAGTTTAAATATAGTGAATATGATACTGTGTTACTTCATAATTTTGATGCTCTTTGTAGTAAATTTGATATAGAACAGTTGCTAAAGAAACACTGTTCAAATGTGTAACCATTTTTATGGAAAACATCTGGGATAATTATAATTAGTTCAGGATGTGTATTGTTTGTTTAAAAACCTCTTAAATTCATGGAGAAAGAAGCGTATCTTTTTCTCAATGACTAGAATAATCCAAATTAATATGAAAAAAATCGTTTATGTTATTGGTAGCTGTGGCTTAGGGTATAATTTTGGAGTATTCCAAAAGGAAATGGGAAGTAACTTTTATGTAAAATGCCAAATTGGCACTTTACACCTGTTAGTGTGTATCGTTTAGAACAGCTGTGTCTTTTATTATCAGTAAACAGATGCAGAAAGTAATGGAATGTTTTAAAGCAATATGTTAATCCTGTCTTCCACTACTGAACTGTCTCACAATATAGTGATTAAATATTGACTGTGCAGCTGTTACTTACAATTATAGAATTTCTTAGTTAATTTATCCTTCCCAGGCCCAAATGTTTTTATATTTGAAGATCTAATGTCTACTCTTCAAGTGTTTCACAAAGTAGTTTGTTTATTACAAGTTGATTGCTAAGATACATTATTTGCATAATTTGGAGACAAATTCATGTGTATAAAATTCTTATTAAATATTTCTATGAATTGACTAGTGTTCTTGGTAGGCTAAATAATTTTCAAAGTTTGTTTATTTTTCATGTTCATTAATATGAAGATAATTATTAAATGTATCAATTTAAATTTTATGCTTGAAAACTGCAATTGGTGAGCTAAAAGGAAATTATTCATCAAATATTTATGAACCAGAGTACTTAATACCTTCTTAGAACAGTTACTGTATTCAGGCAAAACACTCTACAAGTTATTTAAATTATAGTAGCCCTTTTGCAGTTTAATTATGTTTTAATCATTATTTCACCTGTCAGAGAAGATATGTGTTGCTTCATTATCATGTTTACACATAAGCTTGAGGAGCAATTGTCTTAGCTAAAATTATCACTAATATCTAGCATTTACTATGCTCTAATATATGAAATATATTGTGCCAAGAACTTTATTTGTGTTATAGTCATCTTTCCCCATTTGTAGATGGGAAATTCAAACTTAGAAATATACTATAAATTGACCAGTATCTAGGAAATAGTGGAGCCCAGATTTAACCCTAGAAATCTTCACTCTTACACCTCTTATTCTTATAACAACTTGACATTTTGCCTGTCTTTAGCATCTAATATCAACATTATACTGAGGGGAAATAACATGCAAAGTAAACTTTGATAATGCCTTTTTTCAAAGCCACTTTTTGTATCCCGTGTGATGAGTTAGTATATCATTTAGGCAAGTTGCCTAAAAACACATAGCAATTAAAAATGCTTAGAAAGACAGCTCCATTTCTTCGTATCTAATTATAAAATGATTGTGTAATCTGCTCTTCAATACCATCAGGAGTGTCCCTTAACACAGATATCATGATGCAGCCTGAACTAGAAATGATTTTCTGCACCTCTATTTATGATTTTACTTTAATTGTTCTGCTTTTTGGAGATAGCTCTAGCAATCTATCTATTCTTCTTCCTCAAATAACTTTTCTTTGCTTCAAGAGATTTTAAAAAGCAGCTTGATATAGTTTCTACCTGTGTTACATAGTTTTTCTTGTGCCTCATTCACCTAGGAATATTAATTATTATTGAAACAAATTTGTATTAAATAACTGTCCTCTGTCATATATTATTACTAACTATATCTAATGTTCTTATTTTATTATTTGTTATAGGATCTATATTTTATATATGAAAATGACTGAAACTCAGATATTAAGTAAATTGGCCAAGATAACGGCTACCAAATGATGTTTGTATTCATTTGATTTTTCTAAAAAATAAAAAAACCCTAAAAATTTAAGAGAGACACTTTAACTAGACAGTTAATCATTTTTGTTGAGGGTTTTAAAATTTCAATCTCCAACAGATGGTTATTTCAATGTAGTTTCCCTTGACACTGATGAGAATGCTTATAAGATTAACTAGGATCAGCAATGTCATGAAGTATTGCTGTAGGAAATTTAATATAGAAGAAGTCCATTATAAGGTAGTTATTAAGAAGCAAAATGTTCTTGCATGCAAGCTGTCGAAATATCATAAGATAGAAATATCTTATTTGCATGCAATATGAAATGTTATTTGTTATATTATCAGATTTTAAAATACATTTTTTACTGCAGCTAACCTATAGTTATTCACGCTTACTATTTTATTCAAATTACTTCTTATTAGTGTCTCTATCAAAATCACACATAATATAAACCATAAAACTGTCATTTTGTAGCATGTAGTACAGAACTTTTCTGAGCAGAAATAATAATTTGGCTTTTGTTTTGTTTTATATTTTGAAGACTTTTTAAAACAAACTTTTATTTTGAGACTATTATAAATTTATATGCAGTTGTAAATAATGTAGAGATTACACTTAACCTTTATGCAGCTTCCCTCAAAGGTAACATATTGCAAAATAGTACAATATCTCAGTTAGGATATTGATATTACTATAGTCAAGTTACAGAACATTTCTACCAATATAAGAATCCCACACGTACTATATAATTTCCATAAATCCTCCCTGTATTTCTATAATTGTGTCATTTAAATAGTGTTATGTAAATAGAATCATATCTTATAGAATTTCTTAGTTAATTTATCCTCCCCAGACTCAAATGTTTTAATATTTGAAGATCTAATGTCTACTCTTCAAGTATTTCACAAAGTAGTTTGTTTATTACAAGTTGATTGCTACATTATTTGCATAATAATAAACTTTTGATTGTCTTTTTTTTTAAACTCTCTGGGTAGTCACTGAGGTAGACACATATATTTGTGCTTCATTCCTTTTTATTCCTGAGTAGTATTCCTGGTATGTATATGTACCTTAGTTTGTTTAACCATTCATCCATAGAAGGATATCTGAGTTATTTTCCAAACTGTGTAAAATCTGGTTTCTTTCACAACACTAAAGATTTATAGTTCTGTATTTTACACTTTAGTCCATGATCAATCTTGAAATAATTTTTATATAAGGTATAAAAACTGAGGTCCAGGTTTAGTTTTCTTTTCCATTTTGGTCTATGGATGCCAAACTGATCCAGCACTATTTGTCAAAAGGGTATATTTCCTCCTTTGAATTGCTTTTGTAACAGTAAAAAAAATCACTTGGGCATAATTGTGTAGATGTGTTTCTCAATTCTTTTTTCCATTCTGTTGATCTATATGTGTATTTTCTGTCAGTATCACAAAATCGGACTGTTGTAGTTATATAACATATTGAAGTTGGATAGACTGATTCTTTCAATTCCATGAATTTTTTGAAAATTGTTTTTAACTATTCTAGCTCCTTTGCTCTTCATATACAATTTAGAGTACTCTCATCTGTGTTTACAAAAATTCTTGCTGAACTTTTGATAGGAATTGAAAAAAATTCCATGTACACTTGAAGAGAATTGAAATTTTTACTATGTTTAGTCTTTCAATACATGAACACAATGTTTCTCTATTTATTTAGAATTTTGATTTTTTAATCAACATTTTTTAGTTTTCAGTATGTTCATTGGGTTTTTTTACATTTATATCTAAATAATTCATTTTTCTTCTATGAATATAAAGGATATATTGTATTTTTGCCTTTCAATATACACAGGTTATTGCTAGTATATAGAAATACAATAAATTTTTGTATGTTTATCTTGTACCCTGTAATTTTGTTTAACTCACACACATTAGTTCTTGGGGGTATTTTATATATTCCTTGGTATTGTCGACATGGACATCTATGCCATCTGCCAATAGGTAGACGTACTTTCTTTTCATTTTCTATGCTATTTATTTATTTATTTATTTATTTATTTTTCATTCTGTTTTGCACTGGGTATAACTTCCAGCACTATGTTAAATAGGAGTGGTTTAGAGAGGACATCCTTTCCTGTGCCATATATTAGGGAGAAAGCATTCATTTCATTGTTACCTATAATGTTGGTTATAAACCTTTTGATAGATATTCTTTATCAAGTTGAAGAAGTTCCCTCTTGTCCTATTTTCTGAATTTCTTTTTAAAATCATGAACAGACATAGAATTTTGCCAAGTATATTTTATGCATAGATTCTGTAATTTTTTTTCTTTGTTGTTAGTATAGGAGTGTACATTATGTGACTTTCAAATATTGAAACAGCTTTTGATCCCTGGAATTAACCTCACTTGGTCACGCTGTATAAATCTTTTCTATAGTGCTAAATAAATTGACTATTTTATTAAAATATTATTCATGAGGGATATTTGTCTAAAGTTTATTTCTGTTTTTCATAACTATCTTTGTCTGGTATCAGGGCATTACTAGCTTCGTAAAATGAATTACAGTGTTCTATCCTCTTATTTTCTGAAAAAGATAGTGTAGAATTTCTGTTAATTCTTTTTTAAATGTCTTAATATAAATCTACAAAACCATCTGTATCCAGAGTCTTCTTTTTATGATGAATTTGGTTTCCTTAAAAATTATAGG